CACCACCTGCCTCCCTGACCCCACCTGCCTCCCCTGACACCACCTGCCTCCCCTGACCCCACCTGCCTCCCCTGACACCGCCTGCCTCCCCTGTCACCACCTGCCGCCCCTGACACCACCTGCCTCCCCTGACACCACCTGCCTCCCCCTGCCACCACCTGCCTCCCCTGACACCACCACAAATGATGCCAGCCACCTCACCAAGGCCTAACGTTCACACGACCTGTGCTTGTTTTATTGGTCTACTCAAAATTTATTCTAAATAGATATTAGTACAGTACGTAGGCTGTTAGAGGAGGGAGGGAGGGAGGGATCCAGGAAACAAACCCCCCCCTCTCACCCCCCACCCCCCAATGGCTCGGGGAGCGACCGGCCGGCCACACAATGCTAGCTGTTATCTACACCCCAATTGTATTAAAAATTCTGTGAAAAGGAAATGTGTTCAAACTGTTTAAAATATGTATTGTATATATCACAATTTTCACCATTATTATTGCTCCAATATGACATTCTTCTAATAAAAAGGCTATTTTCAGTGTAGATAATGCGATAATTATCATTAAATTGACTCTTGGCATCTGACGACGAGAGGAGAGTGAGGTAGTAGGTGGTCTCTGTGGTCAGGTGGAGGGGGGGGGGGCATGGAGGCGCCAGTCACGTGTTGCCTCCCCTGACACCACTTGCCTCCTGGCAACAACTCTCTCACCAATGCCCCCCTGACACCATTTTATCACCATTTCAGCTGGTTGTCAGCTGCCTGGCTGACAACCTGCCTCCCATGAGAATACTAACGTACACCACCTGCCCCCAAACAAAAAACCTTAACTACTGACACCACTTGCCTCCTGGCAACAACTCTCTAACCAATGCCCCCCTGACACCATTTTATCACCATTTCTCCCTAGAAACAATGGGTAAGGATAATAAAACACTACATAACTGTTTACACTCTGGCGAATCATAGTTGATGACAGCCAGCTCTGACGCTCGGCCTCGGTGACCGCTTGGACGAACATTCCTCACTTAATCGAACATTTGTATGTTCCACTGAACATTTGGTACCGAATTCAATTTGTTCGGCTCTTCCGGGAATTCGATAGAGCGGGGTTCGTTAGACTGAGGAAGCACTGTATTTATATTATAAAATGTGTGAACCATCGCTGTACTCAAAATTATGGTGTGCATATTAGTGATTCAATTATTATGTTCATAAAACAATAAACAAATAGTTTTGCTGTTGTTACACTATATACACAGGTTATATATAAGTATCTGCATGTTTTGTACACCATAACGAACTACTAAGTTGGTCTTGTGAGTCAAAAAGCAACGAGGAGTGACCGCCAAACACCAGCGAGCCACTCACTGCCACTCCCTCCCTCAACACCACCTCACTCACCCTCATTTACCTCCCACAATACTCTTTCTGTATTTATTCACTATACACAGACGTTATATATACGTATTTACATGTTTTGTTCACCATAACTGTACATCTAAGCTTGTATGGTGAGTAAAGGCCATAAGACGTAGCTACTCACACAGTCAGCTGATCGGCGGCCGCTCTCAAGGCCAGTCGCACTAATATTTGTCCTCCAACAATATTGTTTGTGGTGTTATTACGCTATATACACACATTAGATAAAAGTATCTACTTGTTTTATTCACCATACCTGAACAAATAAGCTGTTATGGTGCCCAAAGACCATAGTGGCCATCAGTAAACAACATGCCAAGTCGTGCAGACGACGCTCCTCCCTCACCAAAATGGCGGCTCCCAACCTACTCCTCTCGCTGTTATCTCACACTATACACACGTTATATATAAGTATCTACATTTGTGTTCACCATGGCGAACCACTAAGCTGGTATGGTGAGTGCAGTCAATAATTGGTGACCACACACAGTCAGAAAACGACGCCACAACCCTCCCTCCCACAGCATTACTCCTCCCTCCATGGAGCACAGTGCTAAATATCACCACAATCCAGCTATTATCAGAATCCTGGTCAGTTTTATCACAATCAGGGGGCTTTAGTAATACTATCACTGCTAAATAATAGCAGTATCATTTATATTATGGTATTTGTAGGCGATGCTGTGGTCATAAGCTGAACAGCGGTGCTGTGAGCTCGTGCTGCGTGCACCAGCCTTGGTGGCTTGCTCAATACTGACGCTGTAACACCCAAGAATGTTAGCCTGGATTTTTTTCTAGGTGGCATCTGGCAACTATCGGTCGTGGCTGTACTATAGCTGCTCCTATCCCAGGCGGGGCGTTTAAATTATAGCGCTAGACACGAAATCATATATAAATGATGTGAGCGGTTTCGGTTTTGTCACTGATATCATTTATATATGATATGCGCGGTTTGAGGGTTAAACTTTCCCCCCAGGTAAATTTTCAGAACGGTAGAAGTTTCTCGCCACTCAAGCGTGCGGGTCTGACAGAACCCATGCCATGCCCGCAACGAAAAAATGTCCAGTCTGCCAGCCAGGAAGACTCCGGCACCTCCAAATGCACCCAATACTAGCAAGAAGAACCGATCTCAAATAAGGACGGATCCATGATGGAAGCGGAATCCGGGTCTTGCAGTAGATATGCAGCAAGGGCCTCCCGAACATCCTTAGGTGGGATTCGAGAGGCAGAAAACCTCTGGAATGAAGGAGCCGAGGAACCCAAGGGAACCCAGAACCGAACCCGGGTAGGAGCCGACCGCAAATCATACTCATACAGGGAAGGTTATCTTGAGATGATTTCGGGGCTTTTTTAGTGTCCCCACGGCCCGGTCCTCGACCAGGCCTCCACCCCCAGGAAGCAGCCCGTGACAGCTGACTAACACCCAGGTACCTAATTTACTGCTAGGTAACAGGGGCACAGGGTGAAAGAAACTCTGCCCATTGTTTCTCGCCGGCGCCTGGGATCGAACCCAGGGAGCCGGTCGGCTGAGCGGACATCACGCTGGACTTGTGATCCTGTGGTCCTGGGTTTGATCCCAGGCACCGGCGAGAAACAATGGGCAGAGTTTCTTTCACCCTATGCGCCTGTTACCTAGCAGTAAAATAGGTACCTGGGTGTTAGTCAGCTGTCACGGGCTGCTTCCTGGGGGTGGAGGCCTGGTCGAGGACCGGGCCGCAGGGACACTAAAAGCCCCGAAATCATCTCAAGATAACCTAACCACAGGATCACAAGTCCCGCGTGCTGTCCGCTCAGCCAACCGGCTCCCCGCTCGGCCGACCGGCGACTGCAGGGGAAGGGGTAAGAAAACCCCTCCCCCTGCAACAAGCCCTGCACAGTGAACACCAACACCCAAGAGGAGTCAAAGGGAGCCCAAGGTGCCCAGATGAACTCCTCCCCTGCCCTGGGATCCCCCAATTCCGGACCCAGGGCAGAGCCGGCCTCCAAACCCTCCACCCCTGAAGGAAAAAAAACAGCGTTGAATGTAATGAAACACCATTTTCTGGATGAGTGCCGGAGGCTCCCCGGAGCTATCCAGGCTGATATGAATATCCCTAACTTTGGCATCAGTCAATGTGGGTGGAGTTCTAGGCCTACCTGGGACGAGCCAGAACCTGGCCCCCTCAGAGAGGCCCGAAGAGCAATGGCCCATAGAAATGCACATGTGATTTTGGAGCATTCCATATCTGCCATCAACCAAGACAGGCACCCAGAAAGGTAAGCGCCCCCAAAAGAAACCCTTGTTCTGGTTAAAAACGACGAAAACGAGCAAACAAGTATGACGTCACACGAGCCGTACCGCATGTCTGCGCAGCTCCCCCTCCTCGAGAGAGGAAAGGGGGAGCCCCAGACCCCTGTGCCCGCAATCCACCCTGCAGTTCTTTGTCTGATGAGATACAGCTTGAAAGTTGTGGCTCCAGCTCCAGACTCTTGTTATGCTGTTTTGTTTCAGTACTGCTCTTACGGTGGTGTGCGAGCTGGGAGTAATATTCACAGGTACTTGGGCTGCATGTGGTTAAGGTCACCTTCCCTGAGGGCCCTGTAAGTACCACCCTTGAGGCTTGGGGTTCCCTTCCACAAGTCACCTTAGGTCTACCTCTGTTGGTCTTTTGCTGCTTGCGATTGACCGCTTCGAGTGTCTTGGAGAGGATTCCTCTCTAGTTTGCCTTGGAATAAGTGGTAGTTTTTGCACTGGTAGGGGCGCAGGGTACTGCATAGCTAATTTTCACCTATAACAGTGGCCAGCTCTTTTCCCTCTGGGTACGCTCTCCTCTTGTGAGCTTTTCTTTTCTTTTTCGTTTTGCCTGGTGGAGAGGAGGGGAAAGGGCCTGCCTTGGTGCTCCTCCCACTTTATACTATGGTTGTTGTGTTTGGTGGTACCCCCTGCTTCGCCCTCATGAGTGGACACGTCCCAGGGGTTCAGCATTAACAGTGTTGATTGGTAGCTTGGGCACCAGTTAGCCTTAGTTCTCTTGGAAGAGAACCCTAACATGCAAAGGTAGTATTCACAGGGCGCCTAGGGAAGGAGGCACCTATGCCACCACACACAACGACACTGCAGAGGCCACCACAAAGCCAAACACTGCTTGGAAAGCAAGGGCAGAGAAGACGTCTGCCCCAGTTTGCATTAGCTGATGAACTGGAGTGGCTGGGTCCCCCTCCTGGGGGGAGTTGGGGTGCGCTGTGTGTTTGAGCGACGCGGCGATGGAGTGTGATCTTTGCTTGTTTCTTTGGGCCTGGAGGGAGTTCTACCTCTCTGTTCGGCTTTTGGTTGTATTTTTCTTACCATGTAGGATCTGTTTTGTTATGCCTACCTTTCTGGGTGCCTAACTCCGGTCGATGGCAGATAAGGTTAACCCTCAACCACAGGTGGGTTTTCCAGGGCTATTGCTCCCTGTGCCTCTCTGGTGGGGCCATGTTCTGGTTAGTGGTCCCCAGTAGGCAGAACTCCATAGACTAATGTCTTGGTCTAATGATTTGCATATTAGCCCGATAGCTCCAGGGAGCCGAAGGGGCTCCCATAGAAAAGTAAAATTGAGCTTACCATAAACTTTTTTTTCTGGTATTTTTGTTTGTTCCTCCTTAGCTTTATGTCTGGCATCAACAAAGCTATATCCACACTTGCAGACATTTCGACGAATAGCGACGACATTATTGCACGAGGGACAGAAATGGTATGGGTGGCCTTTCCCAACTGGAAATAAAGATAATTTTGGGTATGATAAAGTACATAGTATGTTTATAATATAATACAGATCTCTGCTCCCACTATAACTACTCTATATGAGCTACATTGGATATTGATCGTTAATAAAGTACTGTATTTGGAATGCACAATAATGAAACTATTCAGAAAAATTTACATGAATGGTTGAGTGATATTATAAAGTAAACTGACTGCCTAGTCAATGCAGCTGTGAGGGGCCAATCTCAGTGTGCCCTGTTAACGAGCATGCAAACCAGTGTACTCCTATCAGCCAAGATGCTCCCTCTTGAACAGGGGCCTAGATAGAGGGAAATAAAGAGCCCTGACATTACCCAAGGCAAGGCCTCCAACCTTAGTGGTCTGGGGCCAGATTCACGAAAGCACTTACGCAAGCACTTACGAACCTGTACATCTTTTCTCAATCTTTGGCGGCTTTGTTTCCAATTATTAAACAGTTAATGAGCTCCGAAGCACCATAAGGCTGTTTATAACAATAACAACAATAGATTGGGAAATTTTCATGCTTGTAAACTGTTTAATAAATGTAACCAAAGCCGTCAAAGATTGAGGAAAGATGTACATGTTCGTAAGTGCTTGCGTAAGTGCTTTCGTGAATCTAGCCCCTGGCCTTTATCCTTAAACTGCTTAGCAAAAGGGGCAGGGAAGCAAAAAATATTCAAATTATGTAAAAATTACTTAAAAACATTAAACAAATCTCCAACTTATTTTCTTCAGCGTCGTGAAACTTTCTTCAAAATATTTTCAGAAATTGGTTTTAGACGATTTTTTAAAAAGAAGAACATTTCGTTGATAAGGAGAACAGCTCCTATTAACTGGAACTGATGGATAATGCAGTAATAAAGAGATGCAAGCACCTGTCCACAAAGAAGAAGAGTAGTAAGAAGTGTCCACAAAGTGGGCATGCAGCTGGTGCCTTTATGGCATTGCTGAGTAATATATAATAACACAAATAATAAGGAATAAGTATGTTATGCTATAGTTTGTTTTATATCATATAAGTACATTGCCCAATGTTAATATCTGTTACTTTCATCAATGTTCAAAATTTTTGGGGGGGAATTTTTCTCTTTTCAAGATTTTAGTTTTGTTTTCTTCTTTATTATGTGATTTTGTTGTAACCTTCACATCCTGGAGAGTGCATACCAGTCCCTAACTATATGAAGATAGAATGAAATTGATCAACAAGTAAGTAATTATCAAAAGAAGGCACCAAACCGGGAAGGCTATGTAGCACCATCATATGTGCGGAATAATCAGAGGGCGCTAAATATCACCAAGGATGCCAATACGAGAACAGAAACGTATAAGGCGAATGATATCAAAAGTATCTGATTCACCAAGAATTCTATCGAGGGACAAGCGACCGTGAAAAATAATAAAAATAATAAAATAAAATATATAAGAAAAATAATAATAAAAAAAAAAAATAGCGAAAATAAGACACAGACTCGTCCCAGAAGTCTGGACATCCAACAAGGATATGCACGACTGTAAGAGGGACAATGCAATTTGGACAATAAGAAGCAGGGCAGGCGCTCCATTAAATGCCCATGAGTTAAACGAGTATGGCCAATACTCAACCTCATCAGAGCCATTTCCCATCGCCAGTTACAGTGGCAGGAGGATGGCCATGAGGACACACAACTCTAAAGAGCACGCAGTTTGTTACCAGTGACAGAAGACCAACAAGCCTGCCAACAGGATGGAGGAATAAATAACTGGATAAAAGTCAGAATAAGGAATACTTTTATGATAGATACCACTATGGTCTTTGGGCACCATACCAGGTTACTTGTACAAGTATGGTGAATAAAACAGGTAGATACTTGTATATAATGTGTGTATATAGCGTAATAACACCACAAACAGTATTGTTGGAGGAGAAATATTAAGTGCGTCTGGCCTTGAGGGCAACCGCCACCAGCTGACTGTGTAAGTAGCTACGTCTTTGTGCTGTTACTCACCATACAAGCTTAGATGTATAGTTATGGTGAACAAAACATGTAAATACTTATATATAACATCTGTATATAAAAGCAAAAACAGTATGGTGGGAGGAGAATGGTGGGGAGTCAGGTGAAGTGGGGGATGGAGGAGGCAGCTGCCACTGCCACTTAGCATGCCAACTTAATGGTTCGTTATGGTGAACACGAATGTAGATACTTATATATAACGTCTGTAAATACAGTAGTGAATAAAAGCAAAAACAGTATTGTGGGAGGAGAATGTGGGTGAGTCAGGTGAGTTGAGGGAGGGAGGAAGCAGCTGCCACTGCCACTCAGCATGCCAACTTAGTGGTTCCTTATGGTGAACACGAATGTAGATACATATATATAATGTCTGTATATAGTGAATAAAAGCAAAAACAGTATTGTGGGAGGAGAATGTGGGTGAGTGAGGCATTGAGGAAGTGAGTGGCAGCGAGTGGCTGGTTGGTGTGTGGCGGTCACTCCTCGTTACTTTTTGACTCATAATAGCAACTTAGTGGTTCGTTATGGTGAACAAAACATTCAGATACTTATATATAACCTGTGTATATAGTGTAATAACCAACAAAGTATTTGTTCACTGTTTGATGAACATAATAATTGAATCAACAATATGCACACCATATTTTTGAGTACAGCGATGATTCACTCATTTTATTATATAAATATATCATATTACACACTACTGAATAATATTACAGCAAAAAAACTATGAAAAATCAGAGACATTGAAATAATTAGGTAATTATCTCTTTGTGGCAACTCCGGCCTGACAGCTGGCGAGCAACAGACCGTCTGGGACGCACGCTGAGTCAGCGCCTGTTTTTTGCCAGACTTCCCCACCCTATAGCGAGCAATATATGCCACTTACGATTTTTTTTTTTATTATTTTTCCCATGATCAGTAAACACAAGTTAACAGGTTTAGAAGAATTTTTTTTTTTTTGTATGCGCCTGTGGGTGACAAATGCTAAATAGCCCGGAGCCACACAAGGGTTAAAAAAAATAATTTAAAAAAATTTCTGAGTGTAATTTGTTCATAATTTTTTGCATCGTCGGAGATATCTGAGAAAGTACGTGAAGTAGCGGAAACGCACCGTGAGGTTTTCTTGTTAACCCTTAGACTGCGCAATACATATATAGATGATCTGAGTAACAAAACCGGTCCCGCACAATACATTAATAGCTGTTTTCGTGTCTAGCGCTAGAATTTAAACGCCCCGCATGGGATAGGGGTAGTCATCGGCGAGCCGCACCCGACCATAAACAAACACCACCTAGGAAAAAATCCAGCGTAGGCCGTCATTGTGTACAGGCCTCTGTTACCCGGCAGACACCATGGCGACTGAATCAAGTTCCAATGACCGACCCCACTCAACGAGGCGTTCATCGCGACCTCTGACCGAGGATGAAAATTAATGAGAATTTGTTCCCGGATGGTGATGAGTCTGATATTGGCGACTCCGGCATTGATCATGACTACATACAGCCCTCAGATGTGGATACGACCGACGATGAGTGGAAACATGCTGGCTCGACGAGGGCTAGGCCTAGCATCTCGCCCATGCCCCCTCGCCCTCACTCAACCCCACTTCATTTCAGACCACACAGTTCATGTGCTACCTTGCAAGATATTGTTGTTTTGGTCGACGAGTCTGAGGAAGGTGAATTATTTTCCGGTTTTAGTGACTTAGAATTGAAAAATAGTTTCGGTGCTGCTAGTGCCAGTGGAGTGTGTGGTGTTACCAAGCGGCATTTTGTCGAGTCAGCAGCATCTGGCCAAGCCATGCGGCACCGCATGGAACCACATGGGGATGCTGATGAATAAAGACCCTCAACATCAAGTAATTTTCCGTCACCGTCCCTGCCCCCCCCCCTACTGTTGCTAGACCTGCTTCAGCTCCTGGTCAACGGTTTCCTCGCCGTGGTGCCGCTATTGCCTCTTGAAAGACACCAGGTGTTTTTGTGTGGAGTGATGGGACAGATTTTGTTCCACAAATTCCTGTCTTTGATAATTCAGATGTTGGGATTACAGACATTTTCCCTGATACAGGTCCCGATATGTGTGAAATGGACTACTTTACCGCATATTTTGATGAGCCGCTCATGGAATATATTGTTCAGGAAACGAACAAATATGCAGCTGATCTCATTGACGAGGAGGAGTTATCAGATTTTTCACGTTTACAGCAATGGAAAGGTACGACTGTAGGTGAAATGTATGTGTTTTTGGCACTGTGTATGTTGATAAAACATTGTGTCAAACATGTACCATTATTGGAGCAAAGACCATACTGTTCCAACACCAATGTTTGGCAAATATGTGTCTCGAGACCGATTTTCGATAATCCTCAGGTGTCTTCATTTTGCAAATGATGAAGACCAGAATGATGATAATAGACTTTGGAAGATAAGGCACGTCCTGAATGAACTTATTGGAAAGTACAAGGATTTCTACATACTAGCTCAGAAGCTAATGATTGACGAATTCCTTGTGCTTTTCAAAGGACGTCTTGCCTTCAAGCAGTATATTCCCTCCAAACGCCACTGATTTGGATTGAAATTCTTTGTACTCTGTGACTGTGAAACAGGACTCGTGTTACACATGATAATGTATATGGGTACAAATGTAGACATTCCTGCTAATGACCAACATGGCTTCTCAGGTAGTGTTGTGAAATCACTGCTTGCACCACATCTGAACAAGGGCCACATATTATACACAGATAACTATTATACCAGTCCCTTGCTAACTAGGTTCTTGATTGATAATAGAACTGGAGTGTGTGGCACAGTGAAGGCAAAACAAAGGGAAATGCCAATGTTTCACACTGTTATGTAGGTTGGTGACTGCGAGCTAAGAAAATCGGTGCATGCTTTCAGTGCGGTGGAAAGACAGGCATGAAGTGAACATGTTGACCACCATTCACGATGGTACATGTTGGACAGTGGCAAGGTGAACAGAACAACAAAACAAATAATCTATAAGCCAGATTGTGTCTTGGACTATAACATCAACATGCGTTTGGTGGATAAATGTGATATGATGGTGGGGCAGTGGAGTGTGTACGGAAAACAGTGAAGTGGACCAAGAAAATGTTTTTCCACCTTGTTGACGTAACAATGCTGAACAGTTACAATATGTATCTTGTCAAAACAGGTGGTAAACAAAATTTACGTGCATTCAGTTTTACTGTAGTGAGACAATTACTAGAGAAGTTTGGCAAACCAATTCCTGGCATACACAGGTCAATTCTGAACCCGGTATTGCACCATGCTCTCACACTCAGGCTCACATTCAAGGATGCCTTTGTCACACACAATCTAAGGTATTTACCACCAACTGTAAAGCGTGCAGTAGGCCAGCGTGAGTGCTACTTACCCAAGGATAAAAACAAGAGGAACACACCCAGGAGGCAGTCGGCCCTCACTCCTTAAAGCGAAGTCAAGACAACTGGCTGCAACCGCCGACCCAATGCGACATCGGCCCGACTATGCCCAGAAACACTGACAAGGTAGCGAGTGGCCAGGACCCTGTCCGACCTCCAAAAACCCCTTGCCAGAATGTCAGCCCAAGACATGTCACCAAAGACAGCAACCAATGCAGCAAACATGCGAATGTTGAGAGGCATGAGGATAGACCACAGACTGGCTAGACCGAATAACCCTGTGGACGACCTGGGAGATCCGAACCCTGAAACAGGGAAGAAGGGAACTGCATCAACCCAAAGCGCATCCCCGGCCACAGAAGCCGTAGCGCGCAAGTAACGGCAGAGAGACGCAACCTGACACAACACATGATGCACCCCGGCCTGACCAACCAAGCATCAACAACCCAAGAACCCCTCCGGAAAGCAGCAGTTTTATTCTTCGCTAGAAAAGAAGGAGACGGCTGCAACTGAACAAACCTACCACCAGGACCAAAAGAGCAGAAACCCCTGCGCTGGAGAAGAGCATGAAACTCCCCAACCCGACCCCCAGAGGCCAATGCCAACAGAAAAAGAGCCCTTACAAAACAATCCTAAACTGAAGGGGTCACAACAAACTGAGGAGAAGAGAGAAAGGAGAGCACCCAGTCCAATGACCAGGATGACTCAGGCTGCACATGAGCAGGCTGGAGGTGAAACAAGGCATGAGACAGCTTCCGGAACGGAGCAGAAGTAACATCCACCCCTAACGCAAGCTGAAGCAACTGCCAGCACCACATGAAACGAGGCAACAGTATTAGGCATAAGATGAGTCCTGAAACAACCACGTAAGGAAGGACAAGACAACCCGATCCAAAACTGAAGAAAACCTATGGAGGGACAAGAAATATCAAAAGGACCACCAGGAAACTTCATACAGCCACCGAGACGAAGCATGCAGGTGGGACAACATAAACAAAGCCACCTACTTACCATACATGTGGTGACAGATCCGTGTCAGAAAGCCCAAACGCGAAGACTCGAGGAGAAGATCGAACATAACGGACTGGCCCAATCTGCTGAAAGAGACGGAGCTGCGGGAAGACCCTTGGGTTCGGACACCGAGCAAGCAGCGCTTGAAACCAAGATTGGGCCGGCCACCAAGGGGAAACAGGACTACTCTCCCCTGGTAAGTCTCCAAGCGAGCTAGGACCTGGAGCAACAATGGAACAGGATGGGAGAGGTACAGGTATCCCCATCTCGACCAGTCCTGCCTGAAGGCATGATGGCCTCACAGTCGTGGAAGGGCGTCACATATAACGTGAGAGGTCATGACCACGCCGACGAAAAGAGGTCCACCTGCCTCAACCCAACTATCCCTGCCTGCCCACCCACTTGGCCTGCCTACCTACCACCCAGGCAGCTAACCACCCACCCAGCCCCACACACTAGTGTGTGGAAATTCAAATTATGTTTGTGGTACAAACATTTTTGGAAATGTTCACTTTTGATGTGGTGAAAAGTCAGTTACTCCAGAAAACGGGCTCATCCGGCAAGGGGTCCTTCCCATATGGTCCATATTAGCAAACTTCTACATTACTCTGGATTAGCGAACTTATAGTATATACATATTTATATCACTATGTGGGAAGTGGATAATATGTACATTTGTCTGGATACCAGCTCTGGGGTATACAAACATCTAGTACTTGCTATTATTCCTGACACTGCAATTTTGTGATTAATACCATGGGTATTATTATAGGTAGTGTCCATTATGGTATCATTTTATAGAACATCATCTCTTTCTATTCATACTATAAGCTTTCCAATAAGCATAATAGGATTCCTTTTTAAACCACTGGCAACATCAATACCTACCGTCTTAAGTATCTGATAACTGGTGAGTTTACCCTAATCCTGAAGATTTTCAAGTGCAAGCCCAAGACTACTACAGAGCATGCATATTAATCTACATTTTCAGCAAAAGTGCTTCACAATGTTACCTTTCCATGCTTGCTCTTGGGTTTTGAACTTCTCCTTCGTTGCTGTTCCTATCACTGATGCCAATTCTTCCTCAGGCACTTTCTGTTTCTTCTCCTCCACTCTCTGCTTAGCTAACTTTCTTTTCTTAGACATCTTTTTGACCATTTTCTCACGTTTGTATTTGTTTTTCATATTTATTGTATCTAAATCTTCCATTGTAAGTTCAGCATCCCAAACATTTTTTCTATATATATCCAAGATATCCTGAAAGAGAAATAATATAAACATAAGGAAATTAATCAAACTAAAAATGCAAAACCTTAATGACTGACAAACTATTAACACTTTACATCTAACCAATGACAAGAGGCAAATAAGCTATTCTTGTACAACATTCAGAATGGTCAGACAGAACTTTAGAGTAACAGTGATGACAGAACACTATGTCAAATGTGGCCACTGTAATTGTGCCTTAGGACTCGGGCCAAAACTAACCATCAGATGTAATGGATACAAACTGATGTACAGTACACACAGAGATCACACTAACGTGATGCATCAAATGAACAAATCCACAAGGGCCGTGACGAGGATTCGAACCTGCGTCCGGGAGCATCCCAGACACTGCCTTAATCGACTGAGCTACGACTGGGTTAAAAGAGTTGAAATTGAAGTTCTACTGAATCCCGTAGCCTCTCCGAGGCACAAACCAGGATTTTACACAACTCCCTCCTGGTCTGATAAAGACCTTTTGTGCCCTCTGTAATGCTTTTGCGCTACTGCTCACAGGATGAGTATGGGGTGCACAATAAACTAGCCGCATTTGGCGGCAACAATCAAATCAAATCCCTCCTGCACCCGAGCTATGTCAATAGGTCGTTCTCTCTCTTCGCCCTTACATTTTGGGTTCTATTACCCAAAATAATGATGTAAGGGCGAAGAGGGAGAACGGCCTATTGACATAGCTCGGGTGCAGGGGGAAGCTGTGTAAAATCCTGGTTTGTGCCTTGGAGAGGCTACGGGATCCAGTAAGTTCAGTAGATCTTCGGTTTCAACTCTTTTAACCCTGTCGTAGCTCAGTCGATTAAGGCAGTGTCTGGGACGCTCCCGGACGCAGGTTCGAATCCTCGTCACGGCCCTTGTGAATTTGATGTACAGTACAACAATAATTCTCTCAAGATCACAGAGGCCTCATGTGATGCCTACAACAAAGAGAAAACTGAAGGCAAAAGGCTATTTCACTTCTAGTGTATAACATACAATGATATATTTAATAAACTTAGGATTACCCAGGAAAATAATGAGGTAACAATGAATGGGAACACAGAGGTAAAAATCTATGAGAACACAAAATAATAATAATAATAATAATAATAATAATAATAATAATAATAATAATAATAATAATAATTCTTCGCAATACGTGCCATTTGCATGAAGGTACTTCCTCCGGATGACTACACGAGCAGTAATGTTGAAGGATGTGGCACTCACAGTGGCGCATCAAAGTTCATGAATTGGCAGAGGATGGAAGATATTGAGGTCATCTATGTGTGTGAGGATAAAGGGAAAATAAACATAGGAGTTGAAATGAACTCAGGACGGTAAAGATGAGGAGTTGTGTTGAGGGTGATAAAGTATCGCCATTCCACGGAAAGTGTGTGATGTAGTCAAAAGACGGAGGTTGCGAAGCGATATATTGGAGTCAATTGCAAGTACAAGTGGGAGTACATGAAGGAACATGGGGTAAATGTGCAAAAAGTTAAGGTAGGTCAGGTTGGGATAAGGTAGGAGAGAATAGGGTAAGTAATGTTGTCGGATACTGGAGCATTACATCTGGGATGCAACCGCATTGGTCTTCTTTGAAGAGCCAGGAGGACAGCATGTGGAAGATCTGGAAGTGGTGTGAGGATGCATCGTAGAAGTGTGTGGTTTGTGTGGTTTATGTGGTTTGTCAGGCAGTGGCAGGTCGCTTGGAAGTTGGGACAGCTGAGGATTTCTTTCTCTTAGTGCTGGGGGATGGGGTTTGTGGTAAGTCAGCCTGAGGAAGTGACTTCGAAAAGGCATGCCAAGGAGTTATCGAGGTTTTCCAGCATCAGTTCAAACGTTTTTTATACAACAAGGGAAGCTGCGGTAGGTTGAATGGCATTCACATTAGATGTGAATCAGGGAAGTATTGGGGTCAGTCTCAGGGATGGGCAGGATTGATCGGGAGTGAGTGGTTGTGGACGAACTGAGGTATCTGCTTGATAGGGTTCTGGGAAGTCTTCTACTCCTCAAGCCTGGCCTCGGGCCAGGCTTGAATTGTTTCCATTTGCCAAGTGGTGCTCCATATACTTATTTTGTCCAGGTCTTCTTGAAGGGCATGACAATCATCTAAATTTCTTATCCTTCCTATTATCTTAGCATCATCAGCAAACATGTTCATATAATTCTGTATACCAACTGGTAGATCATTTATGTACACAATAAACATCACTGGTGCAAGAACTGAACCCTGTGGTACTCCACTTGTGACATTTCTCCATTCCGATACATTGCCTCTGATTACTGCCCTCATTTTTCTATCAGTCAGAAAATTTTTCATCCATGATAGAAGCTTACCTGTCACCCCTCCAATATTTTCCAGTTTCCAGAACAACCTCTTATGTGGAACTCTGTCGAAAGCCTTTTTTAGGTCCAGATAGATGCAGTCAACCCAGCCATCTCTTTCCTGTAATATCTCTGTGGCCCGATCATAGAAACTGAGTAAATTCGATACACAGGATCTTCCTGATCGAAAACCATACTGTCTGTCTGATATTATATCATTTCTCTCCAGGTGTTCTACCCATTTAGTTTTGATTAGCTTTTCCAATACTTTCACTATTACACTTGTCAATGATACAGGTCTATAATTGAGGGGGTCTTCCCTGCTGCCACTTTTGTAGATTGGAACTATGTTAGCCTGTTTCCACACGTCTGCTACGATTCCTGTACACAGGGATGCCTGAAAGATCAGGTGAAGTGGAATGCTGAGCTCAGATGCACATTCTCTCAGAACCCATGGTGAAACGCCATCTGGGCCAGCTGCTTTGTTCCTCCCGAGCTCCTTTAGCATATTTTCCACTTCATCTCTAGACACCTCTATCCGCTCTATGTTGTTCTCTGGAATTCTTATTGTGTCTGGTTCTCTGAAGATTTCATTTTGTACAAACACACTTTGGAACTTTTCATTTAATGTTTCACACATTTCCTTTTCATTTTCCGTGAATCTGTTTCCCATTTCCAACCTCTGGATATTATCCTTTACCTGCAATTTGTTGTTTGAGAGGTTGGTCCACCAGGCTGTTGCTTGGAGCAGCCCACAGGCCCACATATCCACCACAGCCCGGTTGAGCTGTCACTCCTTGAAGAAAATTATCTAGTTTTCTCTTGAAGATGTCCATGGTTGTTCCGGCAATATTTCTCATACTCGCTGGGAGGATGTTGAACAACCATGGACTTTTGATGTTTATACAGCGCTCTCTTATCGTGCCTATGGCACCCCTGCTCTTCACTGGCTCTATTCTGCATTTTCTTCCATATTGTTCACTCCGGTATGTTGTTATTTTACTGTGTAGATTTGGGACCTGGCCCTCCAGTATTTTCCATGTGTATATTATTTGATATCTTTCTTGTCTCCTTTCTAGTGAGTACATTTGGAGAGCATGGAGATGATCCCAATACTGTAATTTAGGTGCTTTATTGCATCTATGTATGCCATATATGTTCTCTGTATTCCATCTATTTCAGCAATCTCTTCTTGCTCTGAAGGGGAAAATGAGTACTGAGCAGTACTGAAGATGGGACAGTAAAAGTGATTTGTATAGTACAACAATTGTAATGGAATCCCTGGATTTGAACATTCTTGTAATCCATCCTATCATTTTTCTGGCTGACAATATTTGCTTGGTTATGCTCCCTAAACATTAGGTCATCAGACATCATTATTCCCAAATCCTTTAGCTGCTGCTTTCCTACTATGGGCAGATTTGATTGTGCTTCATATTCTATTATGTTTAAGGTCCTCATTTTTCCTGTACCTGAGTACCTGGAATTTATCACTGTTAAACATCATGCTATTTTTTGTTGTCCAGTCAAAAACTTTATTAATATCTGCTTGAAGTTTTTCAATGTATTCAGCAGAGGTAATTTTCATGCTGATTTTTGTGTCATCTGCAAAGGATAATATGAAGCTGTGACTTGTATTTATGTCTATATTTGATATGAAAATAAGGAAAAGCAGTGGTGCAAGGACTAGCCCCTGAGGTACAGAGCTTTTAACTGCACTTGGACTCGATTTTATATGGTTCACTTTTACCCTTGTGTTCTGTTGGACAGAAAACCAAATATCGTGCGTCCTACTTTACCAGTTATTCCCACTGACCTCATTTTGTGTGTTATCACTCCATGGTCACATTTATCAAATGCCTTTACGAAGTCTGTGTATACTGCATCTGCATTCTATTTTTCTTCTAATGGCTCAGTGACTTTGATCAGTAGCTGTGAGAGGCACTATCTAAATCCATGTTGGCCTGGGTTGTGAAGGTCACTGGTCTCCATGAAACTGGTGACCTGACTTGTGATCACACATTCAAATACTTTTATTATGTGAGACGTTAGTGCAACTAGTCTATAATTCTTTGCCAATGCTTTGCTCCCTCCCTTGTGAAAAGGGGCTATTTCTGCTGATTTAAGCACATCTGGTATCTTCCCTGTGTCCAAGCTCTTCCTCCACACTGCTTGATACCTGCTTGATGGGGTTCTGGGATTTCTTCTACTCCCCAAGCCCAGGGAGTAGCCCACACTATACTAAGTGCCTATGCTACTGGCACCTTTTCACTTCTTTATAAATATTGAATTCCATGAATCTGGACAAAGAGCTGAGTGCATGGGCATGTTTTCAATTTCTCTTTCAAAATCTGCCATGCTCGTGTTGATATCATTTATATTTACTGGGGTTTGGATATCACCAATAAAGAAGTTGTCCGGATCTTCCACTTTCATGCTGTTTATTGGGGGTGCTAAACAAGTCTTCATACTGCTTTTTTAGTATTTCATTAATTTCTTTTTCACCCTAAGTGTATGAACCTTCATTCGTACGAATAGGTCCAATACTGGCAGTGGTTTTTGCTTTTGATTTCGCATATGTGAAGAAATATTTTGGGTTTTTCTTTATTTCTTGAATTGCTTTCCCTTTTAGTTGCCTTTCTTCAATCTGATATGAGTGTTTCAGTTTCTTC